AATATTTTTGGTTAATTTTATTTAAGACAATATTTTAAAATGAGCAGGCATCCAATTTGAATAAATAAGATATCATATGATAGCCCTTGATCTGGGGATTCTTTTAAAAAAAAGTTTGTGCAATTTAAATTATTCGTTGTGCCAGAATTTATCCTTGAAATTTATTAAAAAATTTGAAAAAAAACAGCCATCCAGATACTTTTGGCAAGCTGGTGTAGATTAGATTTTGTATAAAGTTTGAGAAAATCAAAAATCCAAAATCAATTTTGAAAACATGTATAATAATAACACATACCTGAGTGGAAATAACCTAGATTAAGTGGAAATAACATTTTTTTTTTAAAAATTCAACGAGTCTTGCTCTAAGTGAATAACATAATTATATTATTTCCACTAATTGTGCTTAAATCATAACAGATAAAGCATTTTTTAAACAAAAAAAATAAACTTTTGAAGAAATTTTTATTTTTTAGCCAAAACATGTTTATTTTGAACTAAAATATATAATTTTATTTTATTTAGAGATAAATAAAAAAAATTCTATTTTTTTTTCATTTATAGTAATAATTTCAACAAAATTGATTTTTTATATTTAAAAGCAAAAGAAAAAATTAATCTCCATTCATAAGGTAATTGAAAAGGAAATTGTTTATTTTTCCTTATTAAACCTATAGTTAAATTCTATTGATTAAGAAAAATGAATTCTTTGAATAATTGATTCTATACATATATTGAATGATACATATATTGAATGGATAATTTAAATTGCTAATGTATTATTCTTTGTTAATCACCTTCATAGATGGAATTAAAAATATTACTTCATAATTATAAGAGATAATTACAATTTTAATTTTTAATCTTCTACGATTAGTATTGTAATTTAGAAAGCGAGAAAGAAAGAAAAATTATATTCATCGTTGCAATCTTGTTACTTATTTATTTATTTAAAGAATGAATCATCAATACTTATTTATTTAAGGAATAATCATCAATACATATATGTTCAGTGAAATTTCAATAGACGGAAACCTTAATAAACAATTAAATATTTTACTTGGGCCGTACAATGAAAAATCGATTCCTAAAAATTTTTGAAACCATATACATATAAAACTATATCAATAACAAAAGTATAATCCTTGAATGGATAAGGTAGTTTCAGTGGATCCTCAAAGGAGAGAGTACGCGTCTGGGATTAGTCAAGCAAATACCTTTATATCAAACCAGAGCATGCAGCGTTTAGATGATTTTAGGTAACGAAGTAACTGGAAATTTTATTTTTCACTATACTATTAAAATTATTATTGGTATTATTGGAAGATTGGAAGACAATGATATAATATTTGTAAAACATTTGTATCCTGCTCTTTGAAATAAAGTAATAAGATCAATGTTTAAAAAAGTTTATTCTACAATAAAGATAAAGTTTATATTTAAGATTTTTTTTTTTAATTATATAAATAAAGAGGCGACGTGTATATTATTAATATATTATTAACCGCCAAAAAAAGATCCGGGTATCGTAATTACCCGGATGGGTTCAAATTTTGCGTTGTACCACCAGGGCTTGTGCGATACGTATAGAAAATCACTCGGTTTAAAAATCAAAAATGTAAATTGTGTTTCGAGTTGGTATGAAAATTTCGAAATCGAATTAGTTTGAGATCCCGAAACATTTGTTCCGTAATTCTAGTTACTTTAAATGTTTCAAAAAAACGAATAATACGTTTATATTCTTTTTAAAGTTGGTATAGTTGGTATGTATTTTTTTTATTACATTCAAAGATCTCTCAAGATTATTATTATTTTTTTATTATTATACAATAAAATACAATAAATACAAAAAAATAGATATAATTTTATTCAATCATCCTTAGGAAAATAATCCGAAGTTTGATAAATGTTTAAAGGTTTCATTGGCGGAAGTTTTAAGTCTGAAGGTTCAATTGATTTGGCAGTACTCTTTTTTAAGAATTATAATATAATTAATTATTAATTTATTTATTTTTAATTTATTATTATTAAAATAATATTAAATTATTATTATATAAAAAACTCTTCTTACTAGTTTAATTGTATCCAGTACACGATTTATAGGATTCATAAGAAATCCTTCTGCTTCTATAACACGTTCCGAGGTATCATTAACGGTTTGTTTGACTATATCAATAAATCGCTACAAACGGCACAATACAATAAAATAATTTTAAAAAAAAAAATCATTAAATTATTTGTCTTTATAAAAATAAAAATAATAGAATAATTTAAATGTCATGTATATGCATGTGTGTGCAATAAATAAATAAATATACCTCTAAGGAATCGATCTTATCATATAATGCATCCAAATGATGTGCGGAATCATAAAGTTCTTTGGCGGCAACTTCAGAACGAGTATCCGTATCCGAACGAACCTTTATACAAAATTGTTGATGATGTAATTCTACTTCATTTTATTGATATAATTTGGACCGAATTTTTTTTTTTTTTTTTAGAATAATCAATAATACATGTTCCAAAGAAACTTTAATTTCTTCCACTTGATTTGTCACCGTTTCGACATTTTTCTGAATATTCTTTAACTTTTAATTTTAAAAAGAAAAAAAAAAAGAGAAATTAAAAATTTTAATTAGTAAGATAAATTTATTTATTGAAAGAAAATAATTAAAAAAAAAATATTTTTTAATTTTTACAGCATCAGAATTAGGTTCAAAAAAATCCAAGTGGTTCGTTAGTTCTTTCGATATTGAGTCGATATTTCTTTCTTTATCTTCCATTTAAATATTTTTAGAAAAATATGCACATTAATATAAAAAAAATAAATGAATTTTTTTAGATTTCAATAATCCAATAATCGGAAATATATTCCCAAAAAAACAAAATTTCCAAATTCAGAAATGGATCAAATCAAATGGGCCCACGATAATAAATTCTTGATAATCAACTTAAATGATGATCGTGATATGAAAAATATATCAATTCCTAAAAGTGTTAAGATCCGAAATTTTGATGAAACGATAAATAAATTTTGTGAAATGGATCAACAAATTTTCATTATTTGTCACACACTCTAAATCAGTTATAAATTGAAACTTGAAATTTTTGGGAAAATTTTTCTGAAAAAAAAAAAAGAATTAAATTAAATAAATACATTATAAAAGAATTGGTTTCTTATTTTATTTATTTATTTTTGATTTTAAAAAAAATGGAAGCTGTAATTAAACAATTTGGAAGAGCATGTCCCTTTCTTAAAAGTAATTCTGCCGCGTCCCTTCGTAAACTCTCTAATTTGCCTGCTCACGCTACCGGTTTAGTTGAGGCTGGAGTTGGCAATGTACGCGGGAGTAGTGCTTTATTCTTTATGGCTCAAAAGTGCCCTGTCATGGGTAAAGCTTTAGCTATTCGAAGTAAAAATTATTTACATACCTCTGCTAGATTAGCAAAACGACCTACTCTTCCCTTAAACCAAGCTTTAATTCAAGAAAATCATTATACTCGTCAACAACAACAGCAACAACAAAATGATGATTTTTCTTCTCCTTCCCAATGTCCTGTTAATCGTTCTACTAATGTTAAACATTTTGATTATGAAGCTGTTTATAAATCTGAATTGGAAAAAAAGCATCAGGATAAGAGTTATCGTTATTTCAACAACATTAATCGTTTAGCACAAAAATTTCCAAAAGCTCATACTGCCAATTTACAAGAAGAAGTAACTGTTTGGTGTAGTAATGATTATTTAGGAATGGGAAGAAATCCTTTGGTTTTAAAAACCATGCAGTGAGTATTAAATTATATTATATTATTTATTATTATTATTATATATATATATATATATTTATTTATATGATTACAAATATTAATTATATTATCATTGAATTTTTTAGTCGTACTTTAACTAAATATGGTTCTGGTGCTGGTGGTACTCGTAATATTGCGGGAAATAGTGATTTACATTTTCAATTGGAAGCGGAATTAGCCGATCTTCATCATAAATCTGCAGCTCTCGTATTTTCTTCTTGTTACGTGGCCAACGATGCTACTTTAAGTACTTTGGCTTCTAAACTTCCTGATTGTGTTATCTTTTCCGATGCCGCAAATCATGCATCAATGATTCAAGGAATTAAACATTCCGGTGCCAAAAAAATTATTTTTAAGCATAACGATTTAAAAGATCTTGAAGAGAAACTTCAATCCGTGAATATAGGAATTCCTAAAATTATTGCTTTCGAAAGTGTTTATTCTATGTCAGGTTCGGTAGGTCCCATTGACGCAATTTGTGATCTCGCTAAAAAGTATGGTGCTATCACTTTTTTGGATGAAGTACATGCAGTCGGTATGTACGGTCCACGTGGGGCCGGTTTAGCCGAACATTTGGATTTTGATTTAAATGCACGTTTTCCTTATCAAAATAATGGAAGTGTTTTAGATAAAGTTGACATTATCTCGGGTACTTTGGGTAAAGCTTTTGGTGTTGTAGGAGGTTATATCGCTGGTTCCTCTGCTTTAATTGATACTATTAGATCTTATGCTCCCGGTTTCATCTTTACCACTTCCCTTCCACCAGTTATTGTCGCTGGTGTAAAAACATCTATTCAATATTTAAAGGAATCATCTTATGAACGTCAAGCGCAACAACTTAACACCAGATTACTCAAGGAACATTTGGCCAATCATGATATTCCAGTAATATCAAATCCATCTCACATTGTTCCAGTTCTTGTGGGTGACGCTGAAGCTTGTAAAATTGCTTCCGATCAATTGTTACGTGATCATAAAATCTATGTTCAATCTATTAATTATCCAACAGTGGCTAAGGGAGAAGAAAGATTAAGAATTACTCCTACACCTGGACATACCAAGGAAATGACTCAATATCTTGTTGATGCACTTGAAACTATTTGGAGAAAGAATAATTTAAAGAGAGCTAGTGATTGGAAGAAAGAAGGAGGAAGAGCTGGTGTGGGAACTTCCGAACCAACACCCAAACCAATTTGGACCGATTCTCAATTGAGATATGTGGCTAGCATCCCGGATCATAATACAACCCTTCCTTCTGTCAATTCAAATGACAATCAAATTAATAATGAGATTCTGTTATACTGAATTTGATTTTTGTAGGAAATTGTAGTTTTAGCAATTTTGGAAATTTTTTCAATAAAAACTTTATTATTAAATTATTTGAGACCTTTCAAAAAAAAAAAAACTCTTATTTATTTTTATTGTTATTATTTATTTATTTTTACGTTTTTAGAACATGTTAAACATTTATAACAAAAATTGCATGTGAAAACTGTGAAAGTTATGGCATACTGGCGCGGTCTAAAAATATTTAAAGAGTTAAATCATTGCCTACTTGAATTACAATATACAGTATAAGCTAAGCAGAATATGAAAGTGTCATTAAACTCTTGATCTTGTCAGTTGTTGGACGTGTCAGATTATTATAAATCCAACATTCGACACTTTCAATAATTGATAATGTTGAATCATTATAATACTCAATATGTTTGGTATTACAATTGCATTTGAATTCAACTCGCGATCCAGCCAATAATTTTTTGATTAATCCATCAATTAAACGACAAAAGGAGGGACATAGCCATGCTCAAAAATCGCGTTGCAAGGGCTTTCTTCATGTTGTGAGATACGATCTTCGTAGTCGCAATTTTCATCACAAATATCAAGACCAATTTTATAGAGTCCCGGGTAATCTTGAATATCTAATCAAGTTAATTGTCATTATTTATGTGTTTCATTTATATACTTATCAATTTTTTGCAAGATGTAAAACATGTCTCCTTCAACAGGACGCTTAAGATCAAAACTACATTCGGTAAAATAAGTGTTCAAATTATTCATGGATTTGTCGGTTAAAGATATAGGAATGGTACTCAAATATTTTTTGGCATGAAATTGCAGCGGCATACTTGGGTTTGTCATGCTTGCTGCATACTGGTTAAGTCATATATGGCAATCTGCACCACACGTCATATCATCAAAATCCTTTATTTTTCCTAGCTTTATTAGAAGGGTAAACTACTTATGAAATATTAAAATTATTAATTAATATGAGTATTAGTAAAACATACGGGACAAAAACTTTATTCCAGTATTATCATAGCTTCTTCCTATTTTAGCCTCAAAAAAGGTGCGAGAAATAGCATTGTTTTTAAGCGAAGCTGATGTACGTTTGCTCATTGTTGGTGCACTTATTGTTCAGGTAAAGTGATTAATGAAAAATCACAACCACGGTTTAAATTTTGAGCGTCCTTATTTAATAGATCAATGGCAAAGACGTAGTAATTACGCCGTGATGACTTATGACAATTATTTGAAAATCGCCAATCTATTATATTAAAGCAACTGATTTAATAAAAACCACCAAAAATACTTTTAAAAACAGTTTAACTATTAAAATAAATGAAGTGCTATTTACCTTCAGCTTCGTAAACCTCTCTCGAACCGCGAAATTACCTTCCCTCTTGGTCTATATCTATAAAACGGTACTGCGCCACCCGACATGGTCAATTAAATCATAAAACTAGTCCTAAAAACAATAGTTAGTGCCCGAATACCCGAAGGAACAATAAGATAAATTTAATATTACTTATCTGAAACCATATTAGCCCTCCTCTTGAATTGTGAAATTACTTTCCCTAGTATAGTTCTATAAATTCACCTATAAATTCATCTAGAGAATACCTGTCGTAATTCAAAAAAAAGTGACGTAATCAATTATGACGCATGGCGCAATTAATTAAAACATATGACGCAATTAGACCTGTGAACGGAGGGATGGAAAAAAATACAAGGGAAGGAGGAAATAGATAGACTACAGTGAACCCTCTATAAATGTACCCCCAGGGAATCAGCATTAGGGTGCAATTATAGAGGAATACATTTATAGAATATAGGGTGAATTTATAGAGTATAGGATGCATTTATAGAGGTGTGCACCTTATAGAGGATTTTTGATTTTTGGGATATTTCATCTTTTTGAGATTTACACAGAATCTATTCTATATATGGAAATAAAAAATATCTAGTTAAGTATATCTTTAATCAATTAATTTTAACCTGGCTCAATTAATTGCACCCTGACTAATTAATTTTGTTCTGGTTAAATTCTGACTCAATTAATTGCACTAGCTAAATTCCAGTTCAATTCAATTGCAACAACCATATAAAACTTAATTATAATTTTTAAAATTCTCATTCTCTCTCTCTCTCTCTTTCTTTCTCTCTTTCTTTCTCTCTTTCTCTCTCTCTTTTTCTCTCTCTTTCACTCTCTCTTTCTCTTTCTTTCTCTCTCTCTCTTTCTTTCACTTTCAAAATAAAAACAAACACCTTTTCTTAAAAAAAATATTTTCTTTCTAAAAAAACAATCAGAATTTTTAATTTATTATAAAATATCATAATAGAAAATCATTTTTTATTATATAAAATCAATTTAAAACTAAATATAAAACCAATTATCTTTAAATATTAAAAAATAATTATTCAATAAATTTTATAATTGTGCCAGCCAATTAGAATTGTATCAGAATTTAGTTATTGCATCCAATTGCACCAGAACTAATCCCTAGGCTCAATTGGCTAAATTAAATCTGGTTAAATTCCTGGCTCAATTTGTATTGCATCTCCTATTCCTAATTTAAGTGATCAAAAAATTTCAGGTTTTAAGTAAAATAATTTTGTCTTTTATAAAAAACTATTTTTACTTTTTTTAAAAAAATTGCAATTTCAAAATCTCAAAATAATTTTATATGCAAGTATAAACAAGGTATGTATAAATTTTTAAAAAATAATTTATAACTATTCGCAATGTTAGGAGTAGATTAAAGTTAAGTAGAAAATTGCCTTCCCAATTTTTCAACACTTTTTATTATATTTTTCATTAAACTAATCTATATAAATAAAATAATTTATGTTTTGTATAATACAGTAAATATTTCCTTTTGAAAAAAACCTTTTTATACATTCCTTCACAGTTTATTTTTCTTTATTTTTTTAAACTATACACTTATCTTTTTATATATTTTTTTATTCAAATTTATTATAATATAAGAATAAATCTTCATTTTTTTTAAACTATACATTTATTTTTTCTTGTATTTACTAGTTAAAAATTTATAAATACTACACCTATCAGATACTTGATAGGTGTAAAAGTAATACATATGACCATACATTTATCAAATATTTGATAAGTATAGTAAAATATTTTTTACACTTATCAGGTACCTAATATATTTATTGAATACCTGATAAATATATAAACATATATATTACTCTTATACCTATCAGATACTTAATAAGAGTAATATTTATAAATTATTGACTCGTAATTTTTTTATCTAAATTTGTTACATACACATTCTCTTTCTCTTAGTAAAAAATATGTGTTCTGATACAACACTAGTTATTTTACTATATTTCATATCTCAAAATCATCAAAAAACATATTGATTTTATCAGAAAATTTTAATAAGTAAAAAATTGTACAAATTTTCACTTCGCAAATTTTCACAAACTTTTAATGTCTTTAAAAGTTTGTGTAAAAAAATTTTACAATATTTTCATAATATTTCACAAAAATTTCTGTAAAAATTTTTATAACATTTTTATTAAATTTATAAAATTTGTACTTATATATAAGTAATTTTTTACATTTTATAATTTATTAATAATTATTATTTTATTATAATGTTGATCTTAATGGCCAACTTCTATTTATTTATTATTATATTTTTCATATTATTATTTTATCATCATGTATTTATTAGTCTATTTATATTTTATTAACTTAATTTCATATTATTAATATATATTTATAAGAACCTATTAATATAAATTATTTTGAAATTAATATAATTATTAAGTATTATAACTATAGATCTAAGTGTAATTAACACAGTAGTGTACAGCATAATTAATAGTATATTCAATAGTATAATGTACAGTATAATAGATAGCGTAGTAAAAAGTATAGTTAATAATGTATACATTAGTGTAATTAATAGTGTATGCATTACATCAGGAAATTTAATTAGGCGTCGATTTACGGAATCTCACATGACCTCCGGAAATTTCCGCCTGAAAAATTTGA